TTTCGAAGTGATAACAGAGAGAAGAGGATGGTTGAGAACTGGGATACATCTTATGCACAGGTCGAGGAAGCTCTTCTGAAGTCGTGGCCAAAGAACAAGGAGTCGTGTGCACAATTGCTCATTGGCTATTTCGACTATTATTCTCGATTCGATTTCCGAAACTTTGTGGTTCAATGTCGACGAGAAATGACACTGTCGAAGATGGAAAAGGAGTGGCCTCGACCGATTTGTGTTGAGGATCCGTTCGATTTGAATCACAATCTCAGCAGTGGAGTTACCAAGAAAAGTGAGTGAAAAAAGGTCCCACAACGACAACTACCGTAACCCAAAAATACTTTTATTTTTAGGATTTTTTGCTCAATTTTTCAGCTGACTTTTCTGGAGGAAAATCAATAGAAAACGAGAAAATAAATCCAAAAAATATAATTTTCTAGGTTACTGTAGTTGGTACCTTCAGCAACGGCCAATATTATCCTTGTCTGGCGCTGATAAACCTTGTCGTTTATATTTTCTTTAAAGGCGCATAGCCGGTCCTGAATAGGAAACGATTACGGTTTTTACAAATAACTTCATGCGCCTTTAATACAGTACTTCGGAATTAATTTATTTCTGCCTATTTCTCCAATATTTTTTGCTTGAAATTCTTCAGATTCTCATGAATAAATAAATTTCTTAAAAAGTTGAAAAACTGCCTTACATTGGTCAAAATAAAACAATTCCGAAGTACTGTATTAAAGGCGCATGAAGTTGTTGTTAAAAACCGTATCCGTTTCCTCTTCAGGACCGGCTGTGCGCCTTTGAAAACATTTTCGGCCCGAAGGTAAATCGGCGTCGGACATGATAATAGTGAAAAAAAAAATCCAGAAAATGCAAATATTTCTTAGGTTGCTGTAGTTGGGCCTTTGACAATGGTCACAGCTCCGTACCAGGATAATATATCGATTTTCCTTTCAGTGTTCGTATTCATCATGAAGGTTTTCATCAACTCCCGTGCCGTTTTCATGTCTGAAAAGCCCAAAATGACTGACCACAACCACGCAGGCTTCCATTTGATGTACAGAAAGGTACTGCTCGATAAATGCCATCAAGGGTCGGCGCCATCGGACAGGCAATGCCACAGTTGTCACAGGATAGGCCACTTTTATGAGTCGTGTCCTTTCAGAATGCAAGGGTAAATAAGGCTTTTAAGATGAGCAATGTATTGAAAAAAATATTTTTTTAAAGAAAAGATAATAGGCGAAGATATACATCTAACTCCACAAACAACAGTTATCGCTCCACGACGGGTTCAATAATCACAGGAAGACGTCAGAGGATTCTAATGGTGTTGGAGATCGATTGGGCTATCATAAAAGGGTAAAAATATCGTTTCAGGTTTTTTTTGTGCTGAGAATTATGTAGATTCACATAAAAATGAAAAAAATTGAAGAAACATCCCTGAAATGAGAAAAACCACATCGAAAAAGCGAAGATGTATCGAGTGGTCAAGTGGCCGACTGCGAGTTTTCTAGTCCATTTGCTGCGAAGAAGCGCGAATTCAAATTGTGTATTCATTTTCATAGTTTTTCTTTTCAGGATTTTGTCAGGGNCTCCANGNTTAATAAATTTATACTTGATTCCATCGATTTCCACACGGCTCAACTTCTGTTTCATTATCTCTTCTTCGTCTTGCTCCTCGGCTAGCTCATCAGCAGCCGCTTGATACTCCTCTTCTGTGATTTGAGCTATCACTTTTGGAGTTTTAAAGACGTCTGGAGTTTGTGGGGGTACTTCTACATGATTCCTTTTGGGAGTCTGTGGCTCTTTGACCTTCTTTTTGGAAGTT